ATATAGCATACAACTAACGCCACAATCCTTTTTGCATTAGGTAGTGAATACTTTTCCGATGGAATAAAGATGTATTTGCTGTTCGATCCATTCAAAGAATTACAATTGACTAGGAAGTCATTTTCTCGATAGAGTAATTCAACTATTGTTGAGTTGCTTTGAACATCATAAGAAGCTAAGGGATCTACTGCAACGTTTTCATTGTGTTCGAAAATATTAGGAGTGACTTTCCATATTAGTGGAAGTTCTCTATTAGAAAGTGGACCATTACACCAAAATTGGTCAGCGAATTCCCACTGGTTATGACCACGTGCTGCACAGTCGGCTGCGTTGTGCTGCGATGAAAGTGGCCAAAGAATACACGATGACCGAGCTTTGATTGTGCTTGACGACTTCATTGATCATGGGTTTTCTGATGCAAACATTTTTTCACGGGTTTGTGTCCTGACCAACTGAGTGCGGTCTCAAAGTCAGAGAAAATGAATAGTTCTTAGATCTTTGATACCTTTCGAAGATGAGTTAATACGGCGTCAATCATTCAGAGTGCCAAGGTTAGGGCATCTAAATCCAATTTTAGTATAGTTGAAGTACTTTTCAATGAGGCCATTTGCTTTAGGCCATGAGAAGATTAGCTGAATTTTCTTACTGCAAGTAGACGCAGCTGGCTAGAGCCTCAGTGCTGACATAAGCAAAGGGATCTAATTGTACATGAAATCTGTTGTGCCAAGGTAGCGTTGTATCGGCTTTGTAAAGCCTTCCATTTCTGTATAAATGTTGGCCTATTCTTTTCTCCGGGAATCGAGTAAAATATCATCCCAGTTATGCTTGTCTTTCCATAGACTATGTAAGAATACCTTGCTTTGTGGACTAGAGGCTCTAAGAAGACCACTGAACTTCAAACTGACGCAAGTGTGTTAGCTACTATTCGCTTCGTGATAAGTTGATGTGTCCTTGGTGGACATGAGACTTGTAAGCAATCGGGTTCGATGTTCCACTGAATGCCTAGTTCTTTTGGTAATTTCTTATCTGATTATCTTGGGAAGGCATTGGTGGTTCAGTGGTAGAATGCTCTCCTGCCACCCGGGCGACCCGGGTTCGATTCGCGACCATTGCACAAGTTTGTGGCAAAAATTGTTCAATGGTTATGTTGAGTTGTTTAGGTCACGTGAGAGTTAATCTAAATAGCTCTACCTAAATAGCGAACTTCTTGCTTTGTATTATCGCTTAATACTCTGTAGTAAATAGCTCTAACTAAATACCGAACTCCTTGTCTTGTCTATAGCAAATTTCACCAGCACAATGTTTATCATTCTCAGTGAACACTCTTCATATCTACTTTCCTGGTTCCAGCATTTTTCATTCAACTTCAAATTTGCGTTCATCATGGACGAAGATCTTCGGCCTTTTCGCACATGTGATTGATTGTAGCTTCACAACTGTAGCCTTCTTTCCTATCTTTACGAATATCGCTGATTATGGGTCGAGTATAATCTTTCTGTAGTTTGAGATATCTGGGCTAGAGCATCTATGGATTGCACAAACGCCTTGAATTTATCTAAGTTTGAAAACTTAGCTGTCTAGCTGGCGCGAGGTTGATGGACGACGTTGTTGCTGTCGTTGCTGATTGTTGATTGTAGATCGCTGCACGGATGGCTAACTGACGTTTCGGCGACACCGCCTTCTTTGGTGCCTGGACGTACATTGTTGTCAATATGTGTATGAGTCCATCACCAGGTTAATTTCTAAGCATCGCCCTATGAATCAAGTCAGAATAGGTGCCAGGACTCGTGTTACAGTGACGCACTCGTCTTTACGTATCACTTTTGGGTTTTCATCGCGCATCCAAAGCGCTGAAAGAGTTTTGCGCGTTGATGTTTCCGATTACTGCACCAGAATCGTGATAGGTACATTAAGTTTGTTATTGCTGTGCTTTAACGCCCTATGTAAATCCAGAGGTTGCTTTTTCAGTATTAAATTTCTCATCTGGATGTTCTTTTATGAGCAAATGAAGTGGTCTACCCGTTTCGTCAATATATTCCTCCTCGCATGCCTAATATGTTATTGAATATATAGTGCCGGAACTCATACACTCCTCGTTTTTCCCTTTAGGCCAGATTTTACATTTTTATGAGTGATTAAGTCGATCATAAAGGCGGTTGCAGACCATTCGACGGAGCAGGTCCGATTACTGTCAACGGACTTTTCAGACCACTTCTTTTTAGACACTTCTTAATGGCGCAGCTGACTTCAACATGAAAAGACTTTAAAAGCGATCTTTTTGAGGTGCGAGGCTTTGCTTTTGTTTTCGTTTGTGGTTCTGACCCTACTAATTGAACTGAGCAGAGTGACTGGTACATCGTAGCCGTATTCGTTAGATATGACTATTTTGCTTGCCAAGTTTAGCGATTCTTTTCTCTCCCGTCCTCCTGTGCACACATTACTACCCGCTGGTAGATATTTTTGATGAGTGCTTTTTTCATACGCGATGGATGAAAAGAGAAATGGTGAACTAGTCTATTTTTTTTTACCTGACTCACGGCACCATTTTGTGGTATAACCACTTCTAAGAGCTGTACTTGAATGTTTAAAAATGATAGCCAATCCCATTCTGGACTTTCTCGCGTAAATTTAATAAACTCTAACTGCTCATTTATGATCTCGAAACATTTGTCCATTTCCTCTTGCAGGGAAGAGACAATGAAACAGTCGTCTGTATATCGGCAGTAGAGTAGGGGCCCGCGAATGAGAAGTGGAGCTTCTACTTTATACATGAAGGCGATGGCTAGGCTTGGTGCTAGACGCCGACCCATGTCTACCCCCTTATTTTTGAAAGATAATTCCCTGACCACCTGAAGATTAAACAATAAGGCACTGTCTTAAGACAGCCATTACCTGATGAATTGAAAAGCCAAACTATCGATTTTTTGCTCATTATGCATGAATAATTCAAGAATGGCCGGCATTGCTGAATCGTTTGATACGCTGTCATAGAGTAAAGTGAGATTGAACAGTTCCAATCCTTGCGACTTGTTAGCGAGGCGCATCGTAGGTGGTCCAGAAAACTCTCGTATTGGGTGCATGGGTTGGAATGAACTCAAGAATCTGATATACAATGAGTAAAAGCCGATATATTTTATCTGCATCACAAATCCAACAATCCGAGGCAACGAATGGCTGGATGGGCCATGAGCGCGAGATCGAACCATCAACCTTGCGTGCGACGCAGCGGACCTCTCCTCTCACCACTGCGCCACATGCGCACCTTACATCCGCTTAATTTTTGACTTGATTCAAGGGCGGGGCTTAGGCATCGATTTGATTACCGACTCATACATATATTGATAACAGTGTGCATCCAGTCTCTAAGGAAGGCGGTGTTGCTGAAACGTCAGCCAGCTATCCCGTACAGCGATCTGCGATCAGCAATCAGCAACGACAATATTAACGTCGTTTACCAACCTCGCGCCAGCTAAGCAGCTATGCTTCCATACGATAGATTATAGTTAATTTTGATGCCAAGGTTGACACGAAGTCGACTTCTCGAACACTAATTATTTGATCAAACATACGGACGAATTGACTCAAACGGTCGATTGATCGCTCCACCGACAAGCTGAATCATGGATTGTCACATCTGGCGTTGCTGTATCGTGACTAGGTGATCATGGCTACGTCTATAGTATTGATAACTTGGCGAGTTACTTCGAAAAGTGTCACTTTTGAAAACGCTGTTTTTAATGGCGAGCAGTTTTTCTTCCCGAAAAGATGTACAACGTAGTATGGTAGCTTCAAACACTATAGTAGCCAATTGTGCTCGTACAGACAACGTTAGCTATAGTCTCATGGCTGTAACTGCTCTCTTGCGAGATATATGTACTCTTTGCGGAGTCGGTGAAAGTGGAATAGATGCGCTCGGTTCCACGCTACCTATTGGAACAGTACACGCTCTGGTGTCCTACAAAAGCTAATCATCTCAATATTAAACTTACGGTGAGGCTTGAACTACCACTGAAGACAAGCTTCCAAGTACTCAAGTATTCAATGTTGGAGGAGGATAGAAAGAGACTGGTGGTCGAGTTCATAGTAATGCTCGACGGGGATCGGGAGTTGATTGTCCCCTTCCCCCTACGTTCTCCGATGATCAATAACGAGCGCTCGATGTGGATATGCATGGTCTTGCAAGATGTGCAGAGCCAGTATTATAAGGCGGTCATGAAGATGGCAATCATCAAGCGACGAAGACGAGGAAACGAACTTAATGCTATAAGTACTGGAACTAGCACAGAAAAAAATGTGATGTGGGTATTGATAAGTGAATACCGACACAAACGGAAACTATGTTTGACGTGAGTGCACTTCTTTACCAATAACAGTTTTGTAGAGAGCGTAAGAATACGTTCTGATAGTGTCTACCTCTTCTCGAGTTATCGACTTGTAAGCTCGGATCATGTATTTTCATCTTCCATAATCCGTAAGTTCATGTGATGCAACGAAAGGCGATTGCACTTTCGGTACACTTCTATTATTACAATAAGTGCCCGAGCACTCTCGTGACTACCGTAACTCGGATGACTCCTGTTTGACTTTTTGGAATTTGTCGCGTGATCCAGCTTGTTTTGGTGTCTTGAGCCTTTAACGTGAAGTTGTTGTCAATGTGTGCTCTCGTACCTTGTTCTGATATCCAACTCTAGCTTTAACTTTGTTCGCCTCTGACCTAAAACCCGCCCTTTGAGGAAACGTATATAAATGACCGGAAATTATTTCAAGGCTCCTCTTCGACTTACCTTCCATTTCGACTTGCCCTCGACTACCTCATCTGTTGTCTACGATAATTGAAACCACCGTATATAGCCCACTATTATTGTTGTACTGTTATCATAAAGATAAACGATATTTCAAGACAAGGAGTTCGGTAAAAAGTATCTAATAAAAAGTCCCGCGTGGCCTAGACAACTCTGACAACTCAACATAACCACTGAACAGCCTTTGCTACAAACTGGTGCATTTTCCGGGACTCGAACCCGGGTCTACCGCGTGGCAGGAGAGCATTCTACCGCTGAATCACCAATGCCTTCCCAGGACAGATCAGATAGTAAATTTCGAAAAGTGCTAGGCATTCAGTAGAACATGGAATCCGAATACTTACAAGTGTCATGTCTACTAAGGACGCATCAACTTATCACTAAGCGAGCTGTAGCTGGCATAATGGCGTCAGTATGCGATCCGATGGGCTTCTTAGTGCCTTAACTCCACAAAGCAAAGGTATTCTTCCGAAGTCCATGGAAAGACAAGCACAACGGTATGATATTTTACCCAGTTCGCAGAAGAAGAAGCTATCGACTTTAGTAAATCATACTGATTTCTGTATAAGTGTTGATCTAATCCTTCTTCTGCGAACTGGGTAAAATATCATACCGTTGTGCTTGTCTTTCCATGGACTTCGGAAGAATACCTTTGCTTTGTGGAGTTAAGGCACTAAGAAGCCCATCGGATCGCATACTGACGCCATTATGCCAGCTACAGCTCGCTTAGTGATAAGTTGATGCGTCCTTAGTAGACATGACACTTGTAAGTATTCGGATTCCATGTTCTACTGAATGCCTAGCACTTTTCGAAATTTACTATCTGATCTGTCCTGGGAAGGCATTGGTGATTCAGCGGTAGAATGCTCTCCTGCCACGCGGTAGACCCGGGTTCGAGTCCCGGAAAATGCACCAGTTTGTAGCAAAGGCTGTTCAGTGGTTATGTTGAGTTGTCAGAGTTGTCTAGGCCACGCGGGACTTTTTATTAGATACTTTTTACCGAACTCCTTGTCTTGAAATATCGTTTATCTTTATGATAACAGTACAACAATAATAGTGGGCTATATACGGTGGTTTCAATTATCGTAGACAACAGATGAGGTAGTCGAGGGCAAGTCGAAATGGAAGGTAAGTCGAAGAGGAGCCTTGAAATAATTTCCGGTCATTTATATACGTTTCCTCAAAGGGCGGGTTTTAGGTCAGAGGCGAACAAAGTTAAAGCTAGAGTTGGATATCAGAACAAGGTACGAGAGCACACATTGACAACAACTTCACGTTAAAGGCTCAAGACACCAAAACAAGCTGGATCACGCGACAAATTCCAAAAAGTCAAACAGGAGTCATCCGAGTTACGGTAGTCACGAGAGTGCTCGGGCACTTATTGTAATAATAGAAGTGTACCGAAAGTGCAATCGCCTTTCGTTGCATCACATGAACTTACGGATTATGGAAGATGAAAATACATGATCCGAGCTTACAAGTCGATAACTCGAGAAGAGGTAGACACTATCAGAACGTATTCTTACGCTCTCTACAAAACTGTTATTGGTAAAGAAGTGCACTCACGTCAAACATAGTTTCCGTTTGTGTCGGTATTCACTTATCAATACCCACATCACATTTTTTTCTGTGCTAGTTCCAGTACTTATAGCATTAAGTTCGTTTCCTCGTCTTCGTCGCTTGATGATTGCCATCTTCATGACCGCCTTATAATACTGGCTCTGCACATCTTGCAAGACCATGCATATCCACATCGAGCGCTCGTTATTGATCATCGGAGAACGTAGGGGGAAGGGGACAATCAACTCCCGATCCCCGTCGAGCATTACTATGAACTCGACCACCAGTCTCTTTCTATCCTCCTCCAACATTGAATACTTGAGTACTTGGAAGCTTGTCTTCAGTGGTAGTTCAAGCCCCACCGTAAGTTTAATATTGAGATGATTAGCTTTTGTAGGACACCAGAGCGTGTACTGTTCCAATAGGTAGCGTGGAACCGAGCGCATCTATTCCACTTTCACCGACTCCGCAAAGAGTACATATATCTCGCAAGAGAGCAGTTACAGCCATGAGACTATAGCTAACGTTGTCTGTACGAGCACAATTGGCTACTATAGTGTTTGAAGCTACCATACTACGTTGTACATCTTTTCGGGAAGAAAAACTGCTCGCCATTAAAAACAGCGTTTTCAAAAGTGACACTTTTCGAAGTAACTCGCCAAGTTATCAATACTATAGACGTAGCCATGATCACCTAGTCACGATACAGCAACGCCAGATGTGACAATCCATGATTCAGCTTGTCGGTGGAGCGATCAATCGACCGTTTGAGTCAATTCGTCCGTATGTTTGATCAAATAATTAGTGTTCGAGAAGTCGACTTCGTGTCAACCTTGGCATCAAAATTAACTATAATCTATCGTATGGAAGCATAGCTGCTTAGCTGGCGCGAGGTTGGTAAACGACGTTAATATTGTCGTTGCTGATTGCTGATCGCAGATCGCTGTACGGGATAGCTGGCTGACGTTTCAGCAACACCGCCTTCCTTAGAGACTGGATGCACACTGTTATCAATATATGTATGAGTCGGTAATCAAATCGATGCCTAAGCCCCGCCCTTGAATCAAGTCAAAAATTAAGCGGATGTAAGGTGCGCATGTGGCGCAGTGGTGAGAGGAGAGGTCCGCTGCGTCGCACGCAAGGTTGATGGTTCGATCTCGCGCTCATGGCCCATCCAGCCATTCGTTGCCTCGGATTGTTGGATTTGTGATGCAGATAAAATATATCGGCTTTTACTCATTGTATATCAGATTCTTGAGTTCATTCCAACCCATGCACCCAATACGAGAGTTTTCTGGACCACCTACGATGCGCCTCGCTAACAAGTCGCAAGGATTGGAACTGTTCAATCTCACTTTACTCTATGACAGCGTATCAAACGATTCAGCAATGCCGGCCATTCTTGAATTATTCATGCATAATGAGCAAAAAATCGATAGTTTGGCTTTTCAATTCATCAGGTAATGGCTGTCTTAAGACAGTGCCTTATTGTTTAATCTTCAGGTGGTCAGGGAATTATCTTTCAAAAATAAGGGGGTAGACATGGGTCGGCGTCTAGCACCAAGCCTAGCCATCGCCTTCATGTATAAAGTAGAAGCTCCACTTCTCATTCGCGGGCCCCTACTCTACTGCCGATATACAGACGACTGTTTCATTGTCTCTTCCCTGCAAGAGGAAATGGACAAATGTTTCGAGATCATAAATGAGCAGTTAGAGTTTATTAAATTTACGCGAGAAAGTCCAGAATGGGATTGGCTATCATTTTTAAACATTCAAGTACAGCTCTTAGAAGTGGTTATACCACAAAATGGTGCCGTGAGTCAGGTAAAAAAAAATAGACTAGTTCACCATTTCTCTTTTCATCCATCGCGTATGAAAAAAGCACTCATCAAAAATATCTACCAGCGGGTAGTAATGTGTGCACAGGAGGACGGGAGAGAAAAGAATCGCTAAACTTGGCAAGCAAAATAGTCATATCTAACGAATACGGCTACGATGTACCAGTCACTCTGCTCAGTTCAATTAGTAGGGTCAGAACCACAAACGAAAACAAAAGCAAAGCCTCGCACCTCAAAAAGATCGCTTTTAAAGTCTTTTCATGTTGAAGTCAGCTGCGCCATTAAGAAGTGTCTAAAAAGAAGTGGTCTGAAAAGTCCGTTGACAGTAATCGGACCTGCTCCGTCGAATGGTCTGCAACCGCCTTTATGATCGACTTAATCACTCATAAAAATGTAAAATCTGGCCTAAAGGGAAAAACGAGGAGTGTATGAGTTCCGGCACTATATATTCAATAACATATTAGGCATGCGAGGAGGAATATATTGACGAAACGGGTAGACCACTTCATTTGCTCATAAAAGAACATCCAGATGAGAAATTTAATACTGAAAAAGCAACCTCTGGATTTACATAGGGCGTTAAAGCACAGCAATAACAAACTTAATGTACCTATCACGATTCTGGTGCAGTAATCGGAAACATCAACGCGCAAAACTCTTTCAGCGCTTTGGATGCGCGATGAAAACCCAAAAGTGATACGTAAAGACGAGTGCGTCACTGTAACACGAGTCCTGGCACCTATTCTGACTTGATTCATAGGGCGATGCTTAGAAATTAACCTGGTGATGGACTCATACACATATTGACAACAATGTACGTCCAGGCACCAAAGAAGGCGGTGTCGCCGAAACGTCAGTTAGCCATCCGTGCAGCGATCTACAATCAACAATCAGCAACGACAGCAACAACGTCGTCCATCAACCTCGCGCCAGCTAGACAGCTAAGTTTTCAAACTTAGATAAATTCAAGGCGTTTGTGCAATCCATAGATGCTCTAGCCCAGATATCTCAAACTACAGAAAGATTATACTCGACCCATAATCAGCGATATTCGTAAAGATAGGAAAGAAGGCTACAGTTGTGAAGCTACAATCAATCACATGTGCGAAAAGGCCGAAGATCTTCGTCCATGATGAACGCAAATTTGAAGTTGAATGAAAAATGCTGGAACCAGGAAAGTAGATATGAAGAGTGTTCACTGAGAATGATAAACATTGTGCTGGTGAAATTTGCTATAGACAATAATGGATTTATTGCTCATTGTGGAAATGGTAGATTTTGCCGAACACTAACTCCGCTTCACTTTTGAAAAATATAGGAAAGATTTAAGCTATCCCCCATTAGTACAAGAAATTATGTTCATAAAGCTAATCATTATCAAAAAGTGACAAAAGTATATCTGTTGTGAAGAGGCGCGAACTAAATTGTGATTGTAAAAAGTGAAATAAAATCCTACAAGTGGTCGAATTTATTGTGTCCGTGCTCAATTTTCTGTCAACTGATACACGACCGCTTGCCAAAACTAATGATCAGTACTAACTCTGTAGCATAAGGTAACCTCCTATAAGATTTCAAGCCTTATCTCACTTTCTTAGTAAAAGTAAGTATGCAGTTTCTGAGAAGTTTTGCGCTATTGGGGGATTGATTATCCCCGGCATTTGTCCCTCATATCACAAATCAAGAGGAAAGTGTAGGAAAAATAGAGCAATCAATTTCATCTTTCCTTTCATAGGATTTTCGCTAACGAATTTATGACAGATTTTTAGGTTCAAACATTATCGAGGTTGCTGATTAAATCCAATCACACGTGTGCCTGTGAATGATTTCATCTTTTCACACCTTTCAACTTCATATCAGCATATCTCTGAGTG